CTTTAGTTATACTAATATAATGCAAAAGTTTAGATGGATGGATGTTTGTTAGAGTTTGTAGCCTAAACGGCTGAACGGATCTCGATAAAATCTGGCATAGATGTTAGAATACATAGGCTACTTACTTTTGTTTTTCTTATTTCCAAGCGGACGGAGTAGGGAGCGAAAGCTAGTTCTTTATAATAATAGTAAAGTTATTTTTTTATGTAGTTGGAGGAACGTTGGCGCGCGGAGACAGCGTCGCACACTCTCAACAACCAAGTGCCGCCCGGCAACCGCGCCAACAACTACTGGGACAACTTCCGAAGGTAACCACATTACAAGTTTTTTTTTTCTTTATAACTGTCAAATTATCATAATACATACTTTTCTATTTCAGATATTAGAAAACCTAGTTATGTTATTATAGTTTATATATTTTATATTTAAGTATCTATCACTGCAGACGACATATACATTTCGGTGAGCCTTGTGTGAGTGTGTCCCTGCCCTTAGCTTTGTTATACTTTTATTTGTTTTTATTATAATGTTGCTTGTTCAAAAACTTTACACATTTTTCATTACACTAAAAAAAGTGTGCTAATTTTTTAAAATTTCATATGCATTTTTTTTTATCCAGGTAAAAGTTAACAAATCTAATTATTGTTTACAGTTATTCACGTCAAAACCTCCTCTCAGCTAACAGCAAGACCAATGCGGACGGTCACTTAGGTACAGGCTCCGCGCACAACCCGCACCCGCTCGTGGAGAGGTCTCACAACACGCTGCACCACACCTCCTCCTCCACCTCGCCCTCCATCACACCCAAGAGAAATACTAACACGGCGACCACCTCGCAAGCCGCCGCACCGCCGCCAGCACAACTGCACAACGACGAACCATCAAACAGACATCCACGAAGAAATGTCACTTACGAAAGATCGCTCTCCTTTTCCTCCGCCCCGGATGTACTAAACGTGAACCAAAACACAGAAGCCGAAGCAAACGCACCTTCACACTCCAGGAATGTAGACGAAGCTACCACCTCAAATGTAAACATCAATAGACAGGAAACCGCAACCACATTCAGGAACCTAAACATCACAAATCCGATACCAGAAATTATACAGTCGCATTCAAACAATTTGAACAACTCCACAAACTCAAAGAAAAAGTCCTCAGCGAAGCTACCGTCGAAAAATTCCACGAACAGAAGGAACTGCACCTTAGATTTTTCCCAAACTAGTAACATCAACATAACTAGTACTACAGATACGCCAAACCCTAATTTGGCGTCTACCAGTCGCGAGGTACAAGAAAAAGCTACTTCAAAATTATTTGACCTTTTGAGAGAAAATGTTTATTCAGAAGTGACCACCTTGATCGGAGTCAATGAATCTCACCCCGACTTTTTGATACAACTCTTTAGAGAACTGCAACTGATAAGTTCTGATCCATTGAGACAAAAGGTTTTGCAATCCATACGAAATGTACTAGCTCAGTACAGTTCTATTATGGAGAGTGAAAACAATGACCGTGTCGAAGGCTCCGAAGCCGAGGCGGTTACATCTGGAGATACGGGTAATGGGTATCATGAATGTAGCTCCCATTCCATTGAAAATGCTTGTACAAATTCAGTGCAAATTGACAACAAAATCGTTCGTTTCCTGTTCATGAGAGGCGAGGAGATATGCACACCTGAGCTATTGGATGCATTGAGATCTCTCATACTCAACAGTGCGCCGGATAGCAAACAGTCAAAGAAAAGGCTTCAAGAAATATTGTCAAAGTACGAGGGCATGAGAGTCTGTGACATATCAAGCGACATTATAGAGAATTTGTCGCTGTATCTTTCTGGTAGTAGCGACGGCGATGAATCCGCGCACCTCACGAGCGAAATCTCGGAAACTTCTATACTTCAAGATGTCGCGGGTTCATTGAACTTGTTTAGCTCCAGCGAGACCCAACTGCACCAACTGAATGGCTGTCCGTATGAGATGTGGCCTGGACATGTTCACATGGATATCGATGGAGGGGATTTAAATGAAAACGGCGCTCGTTGTAGTCAAGAGGATAAAGTTGATCTCATTAATTGTTCTGAAATGCACAATGGTGATTTAGCCGAGGCGGATCAGACCTGCCCCGCAGACATGGGGGACAGCGGCGTGAACAGCCACGACGAGGTGTCCAACACCGCAGACGGCCTCCCCGATGTGGTGGACACTGATGAAGTCACTCCCACAGAGGTAATGCAACATGTTCTCTACTGTAGATGTCTACCCCTTATTAATTGTGTTAACAAAAATACGTAGAACTTCCTATGTTAACATTACTTTTCTTTCCACTATCCAGGAAAACATTCTGTGTCATGTGCTAATCATTTTATTAATTTGTTATATTTGTACTCAAATTTTCTTGCCAACATGTAATCTTTAGATATAAATAAAAGTTCATAAAAACCAAAAGTATAAAATGATTTTTTTTCTTCACACTCTAGTTAAGTCTTTTCATCTCACATTTTTACTTAATAACAGTAGGGTTAAAAGAAAAATACTTTGTAATTTACAAATCCTTTATTCTTCTTAGTCTCTGGCTACAGTTGTATCACATCACAACTAATTGATAATAATTTTACACAGAAAATAGTTTTCAATTTGCTATCAGTTAATATGAAAAGTAAATTTAAATATCGAAAATAGAATATAAAATTGTGATATGTTTATATTAAAGGCAGAAGCAGAGTGGCTCGGGCTTGACCGTGTGCCAACACGGCTGCACATGGAAGAAACATCTGAAAAGCAAAAAGGTGATATTAGTATTAAGTCAAATAATCACTAAACACCTAAACATGGAACTGTTTAAGCTCCAATGTTGTTTAGGTGGAGCCTGAAAGAAACTATATCTTATTAGATCTTCATCAGCATCTGTAACAAAAAATAAAATGGACAGAAATTAATTGCAGTTTTTCTTTCTTACAGATTAAATTACCAAGAAGTTTCAGGAATTGCTGGCATATTTTGCAATTAAAATTTAATGTTTTTTTTTCCTAATATCTCTTAAACTGTACATCTTGTATTTTTTCTCGTCATATTTATTTTAATATAATAAACATTACATATATCCAAAACAGCGCGTTTTATTGCTATAAAAATAAAAAGCTTCCCCTCTCCTATGTATGCTTTATTTTAAATCACTAAAGAACTTTGTATTAACAAAAACATAGTAAATTACAATTTAGATATCTTCATTTTAGTCTTATCACACTTTATCACTAATATTAGTCACAGACATAACATAGATGAAACATATGTCCTCCATGCAGGTTCCAATAAAGGTTTTCCAGTAAATCTTCTGTGCTTGAATGAATGCTTGCTTTCTCAGTTGTCTCAGGTTCAATATTTTTCTTTGTTTGTACTTCTGCAGATAAAATGGACATTGCTGAATTAATTTTTTTGTCATCTTTCTGAGAATTTAATATTTTTGTTAAATCATATGGACCATGAGACAACGAGATATATCTGGATTGTTGTGAGTTGGTCGTAGTAATCGCGGATTGTGGGTGGAGGTCGTTGGCACCATACCCTCTGAAATAAAGTCAAATTTCATCACTCTATGTCTCAAGTGCCAAAAGTGGGAAGCCTCAGATTAAGTTGTGTTGCCATTTCAAATTTCTTCAATAAAAGTACTGAAGTAAAAACAATCTGATGGTTACTTTGCCACTTTTTTGCATTCTATCAACATACAGAACTATACTACCTGTACTTTATTTAAACAAATTTCCAAAGTTTATTACCTCTCAGAAAGTTGATTATTTAAAGTCAAAAGTTTTAACTTTCAAACTATACCTATCAATAACATTAACAATTACTACTGATTGAAAGAGAATTATAATACAATACAGAGCCACATACAGGTTGAGAAACATATAACCACTAAATTATTTAAAAAAGAAAACATGACTTATTTCCAACTTCCACAAATTCACACCTGAAAGTATTATTTTTTTCTATTGGATTATAAAATAATGTCAGCTGAAGGAAATTAAACATTTGATCTATTATGACACGCAAAAGCTTAATACTTGTATGCTATTTTCATTTAAAACACATTTAATTCACATTAACAATACAAAAGGCACTGTCTATATGTCCAGTTTCTTCTATCTAACAATTAACTTTATTTATACTGGCTTAGGTACAAAATAAAAATGTACAAACATAAAAAATTATGCAGTTAATTTTTCACTACTAAGCTGTTCTCTTTCACTGTATTATAATAAGATTATTTCATAAACAGTTTTTCCTTACAATTTATAATTATAGCATTAGTGAAAAATTAACTTACACTTAAATTCATCTGTTTTACAGTATTTGTTTTTTTTTATACTTTGATAAACTTTCTATTGTCATAATGTAAAGTTTTTCCTTTGAAATGAGTTCTTCCTAAAAAACTTAGATTACAATGTTTCTTTTTACACTTCAGTAGTGGAAGTTAAGCTTACTAAAGTCACTTAAATATGAAGTTAAATTACTAAAATAGTACAGTATTTTTCAAATTCCTCTTTTTTCATTTTGCAATTCTATATAAGTCCCTATGCAGAACATAATTTTTATGGAGGTGTAATTGAAGGATGCAATAGGATACTGTGCAGCATTACCTCACCAAGATATTTAAAAAATACCATACTTTACATTTTATGTCTCTTAAAATTATATTTATCATTTTTGCCCATGACTTACCTTGCATTGACTCACTTGTGTACACCATACTTATTATTTTCTTTGCTGTTTTAAGTATTTTTAAATTCATTATCAAAATATAACAGAGAAATAGTGTTTATCTATTTGAATATATGGGTACAAAAGTTTTAAATTATTTTTGGATTGTAAGACTCTAAAACTGTGATTTTTGCAACTACTTAAATAATTAATTTGTGTGCATGCATTAACTAATGAAGCAATAGAACTTATGTCAATGGTAAATTTTTTATTTACTTCAAAAATTTAATATTCACCCAAAAATAATTTTCAATGCAACAGGTTTATCAAGTGCATTCACAACATTACATATGTTGTAACGCTTATAACAACAGGAAATTTGAAACTGCAACAAAACTTCATAATATTTATTTCATTCTTTGTAAAGTACAAGACTTCCCACATAAGTGACTACACTATATCCCTGCTGCATTGTTTGAAATGTATGTCACTATGATGATATACCATTTTATTTCTGCAGAGCTGATTCATTTATTATAAATAGAAGTGCATACATTAGCGTTTTACGATTTCTCATTGAAATGAAATAAATTTAGCGTTGACTCATTGTGACGTCACTTTCGCGTTGACCATAACATATCAATGAGAAATTGTATGAAAAAATATTAATATATTTACCTTCTCGCAGCCGTTTGCTTTCAGGATAGACGAAATATTCTGCACATCGCTTTTTGCCATTTTTTGGTGAAGAATCCGTTTCATTGATGACTGGTGCTTCCTTCATTTCGCAGTCCGTATTGTAAATGTTTTCTGGATTCTTAGTTTCTTGAAAGCCATAGTAGCAATTTTTAGATATGTGAACATTCTGGCAATGACCCATTAATTGATTAGTATCACTGCAAACTGGAGCAGGTCGCATGGCGATGAAATTATTTTTGGCATCCTGCATGTGAAACAAGTCGATGCTGCTAGCTGGCATTGCTGTTTTGCAAAATTGCTTAATAATGCTTCTCGGATATAAGCTCTTGTATGATAATGTTAACGTTTTATGGGTTTTATATATTCGAAACTTCAGTAACCAGAGTAAGACTGCAACTTACAGGAACTTTAAGATATATAAACAACTTTTGAACGTCACAAAGGGTAAATAATCGGAAGTTGTATAGATTAAAATGAACACAAGTTTATGCTTGATGTCTTAACGTTAATTCTATAATATTACTTTATTTCTTAAGTTTCTAACCTAACTATTTCCAACCAAGCCAAATCAAAGCAAAGAATGTCATAGACATACATACAAATATAGAGTATACAGACCAGTATGTTACAAAGTACTCTGTGATACAGATCGGATCTAAATCTACTTCCGATTCTTGACTTTTTAATGTCCGGTTGACATTTGGCCAATACAGTTGGTCAGTAGCGTACAATAACTGGACTGTCAATTAACTGGCATAGTTTGAGCACAAAATTGCGCCAGTGAGTCCGTGCAACCGACTGGCGTTGCATCTTTTCAACTCCACTGGCCTATTGCCGACGGACGGACATAAAGTCGTTAAGTTTGAATTTATTTTAGGAAAGAAAAATATTTAATTAAAGAAATAAATACATACTTTTAAATAAGAATCGTACAAAAAATGGAAATTAATTTACATGACCTTACTAAACATCAAACATGTACATAAAATGGAATATTATTTTTATTTAAAGCAAGAGAGCGTGAATCCGACCGCTTATGTCGTGTTGTTGAAGTTAACGTTGACAGTGATAGACATTGCTGTTTGTTGTTTTTGGCAATTTTAATCTTCTAGGTTATGTTTGGCGTTAATTTAGTTCTTGTACATTCTTAGTTTATCACGATACTAGATCCAATCATTTGATTATTATAACCCTTAAGCTCCTATTAATTAGACGTGCATTAATGTGTTTGTTTTATGTTTTTATTTTATCAAAGGAAAATTATATGTTACTATACATGAAACTCTCATCAGTCTGAATCTATTAAACTATTGTTACCGTGTAAATTGTACATACATGAAATGGCTGAAATATACAAGTTTGTTACTTTATTTTGAACTTAATTTAACAACTGTTTAATATTGATTTCATTTGAATACATAATTTCAGAGTTATTCACCCGGTAAAATATTTCACTTCTTATATTGAACGAAATGTACGACCTGATGGAAGAAAGTTCGATGAACATCGTAATATAAAACTTAATATCAACACAATAAAATCAGCTGAAACAAGTGGACTTGTTAAATATGGGAATACAACAATCATTTGTGGTACCAAATTGGTAATAGTAGTGATAGTAGTTTATGTTTTAGCTAGGAAAATATATGTGTTCTCTAAATTATTACTGAACATTTCAGGAATTGGCGGCACCTAAAGCTGAGGATCCGGATTCAGGATTTTTGGTAACAAATGTTGAATTGGTACCATTGTGCTCATCAAAATTCAGACCAGGCCCACCTTCTGATCATGCACAAGTCATTAGCAATGTTGTATCTGAAATTATTAATAATTCAAAGTTTGTGAATTTAAAAGACTTATGCATTGTTTCCGACAAACTGGCTTGGGTTCTGTATTGTGATATTGTGTGTCTAGATAATGATGGAAATGTTGTTGATGCTTGTATAACAGCATTAACTGCAAGCCTCAAAACATGTAAGCATATTTTACATATTTTCTACAATATAACATTTTTGTAGTCTATGGTATTTCATTATGCATATTTTTTCTAGTGACATTACCAACTGTAACATATGATCCAGAAACAGAAGAAATCAAAGTTGATACAAACAATAGGATATCCTTGAAAGTAAATGGTTTACCAGTGGCTACAAGTTTTGCTATATTTCCAAATTGTGAAAGGTTTGTAAAACAATTATTACTTTTTCGACTTAAGAAATTAAAGTAGTTCTCAGAATTCCTCTTATTCTAATTTCATACTATAATTTCAGGAGTATATTACTAACAGACCCAAACACTTTTGAAGAAGAGATGTGCGGTGGCAATGGTGCTAATGTTACCATTTCTTGGAACAATGGATTCCTGTGTGGAATACTAAAGTCTGGAGGTGGTACACTTTCAATTGAACAGGAAAAGGAGGCTATAAAATTAGCAAAAGAGAGAACTCTGCTTGTAGAAAAACTTATAGACACATGTATATCAAAAAAAGATCAATGAAAGTATTTTATAATAATAAAAAAATGATTAAATCAGTTGTTTTTTTCAATCGAATTCAAACTTGATAAAGGTGAAGGTTCCTATTTCGTCAGTCTGGTCTGACACCGAAGCTGTAGAACCTACTACTGTCCTAGATCTTAGTGAAGGTAGTTTGTTGGTTTTTTATACATGCAGGTCCTAAACTCTACCCTCTAAACTCGAAGATCTGACCAGCATGTTATGAAATAAAGTTAAAATAGTTTTATGATTTTAAATAAAATAAATATTTGACGTGATTAGAAAACAAAAAAATGCGGTGACAATGGCAATCTGGGTTCTGTCATTTGACATTGACATCGATATGTCAACACTCATTCAAAATGTCACCACGTCTCAAAATATCAAAATATGTTATTGAGGTAATTTCTTAATTTTTTATCTTATTAACATATAGTGTTAACAATACATACTGATTTATCTTAAATGCTTTGCCAATTTCTGTATTTAAATTCCAAAATATTAGTACAAATGCGTTTTTCATTTCATACGTCATCAAAGGAGTCAACTTCGCCGGATCGCTTTGCTTGTAATTTATCATAATTACGAATGTTATCAATGCGTAATTTAACCTGGGTTTGTTGCATATGATTTCAGAGGTTGTCTCAAATAGATACTGCAGAGAGTACAGGATGTTTGTACGGACTTATGTACGATGGTATCCTACTTGTCGTAGGATTGAGTTTAGAATTGTTTGATAAGGAAAAGAACGCGTATAACCAATTGCTCCTCAATTTGCCCGCAGAGATAGAACTATGCGGTGTTATTAAATTCAGTGAATGTTTAGCTATAGAAAATAAAACAAAAGAAATACTCCAGGTAAAGTTTATTTCTATTTTTTTACCACATCTCCACTGTTAACTGGTTTTAAAAGTACTGCGTAGTCCTACAATCTAAATTTTCCATAAAATTGATTAATAAAATCTGATAAGTGTTGTAATTTATGTGTTTTTTAGGATGTAGATATAACAGACAATCCTCTTGTTGTAATTATTAGTAAAGAGAAAGATATAAAAGCGCATTTCTTGGTGCATGACAAGTTTGAGGAGACAAGCTATGAGGTTATGGAATACGACGAGCTATGGAAACAGTTTCTGCATGTTCGTCTCAATACTATATTACCTCTTACTTGTGAGGCAACTATAGCTGGTGTGAAGAATATACTACAGAATAAAAGGAAAAAGGTAAGCTACACGCGAATCTATTGATTATAAACTTGAGTTTGCAAAATCTTTGTTTAGAAAATAATTAACAGTATATATCTAAGCTAAGATAGAATTTGGTTTATTTCTTGAATTATGTTAGGAGACGTCTACATTAAAGCTGGAATTTATTGCCTTTTAAACCAACATAATTAATTGCAGATAGCCTCCGGTCAAGTATCATTTCACATAGATGGTACAGCTGTATATCTGTTTGGGATTGCATCAGATGTTGGAGTAACTGGTACAAGCACTGAGGCAAACATTGGAGAACTTATAGACTCCATGAGTGCAGAGCAACCAACTAAAAAGAAGAAACTCAATATTCATTCTTTGGTGTGTCTTCTTATATTTAATTATAATATCTGCATAACTTTTTAATGAAGATTAATTTTAGTAAAATTGTGATTGTGCACTTGGTTACATAATGAATAAAAATAATTAAATTTTAAATCTAAGTTATAGCAGTTCTTGAAAATAATGTTAGTGACATCTTGCGTAACAATTTTCAGGATATAGTTCCTGTCAATTTAGTTCTGAAGACAACAAAGGATATTTTATCAGATAAATTAGTTAAAACTGCTGTTAAAATGATGACCACACAAAGAAAACGTAAGGGTAAATTGCATGGTTGCATTATTTGTTTTTTTTTTGTATAGTATTTTTTTATAGATAGTTTTAGTTAGTTTTGTTATAGTTTATGTACCCTATTTTCTGTTTTTTTAGTTATACAGATTATATTTAGAATGCATGTTCACATTTAGTTTAAGAATACTGATATCAACAGAGTTTTTAGTTTAGTTAAGGTATCGAAAGTGATGGTTCTGCTGTGTTATAGCAAAAATATAAGATAGATTAATTTATAATTTATTTATCTTTCAGCTGCATTTTGCATCAGTATGCCATTGAAAGTGGATACATTAGCAATGATCCATCGTAACACAAAGTTGTCAGAGTTGTACACAGTATTAGTGGAGGCGGCGTGTCGCTCGCTCAGATTGCTGGAGAGTGTGCTGCTTGAACAACTAGGTATGGAAATTAATTTGCTTATGACTCAAAATTTAATATGATTAAAATAATGTAAAACTGTATTGGAGTCTAGATTTTTACATAGACGGAAGTCATAGATCTGAAAAAAGCTAAGGAATAATAAGTCTACAATACTATTTAGTTTATTGTATGGGTCTTAACTTTAGAGTTTTCTGTATTTTAGGCCAAGAAGGTATTGGTGACGGAGCTGGATTACGTTTACCTGAAACATTCCATTATTTACCCGAACAGCTTGGACATTTCTTAACGCGAGTTGTTCCGAAAGCTATTCCCGATGAGAGCATGGGTATGTATATGCTTGGCATTTGAGTTGACTCTAGGGGTACTTATTTCCCTGATGTGCCAACTTGGGCACTGATTCGGCTTCGGTAATTTATTGAGTAATGTTGATTTGTTGATTGTAGAAAGGGAAAGAATGTACTTACATGAGCAATTAGCTCTGCCTACCAACAAGCCTATATTCCGACGAGGTAATGCATATACTACGTATGGTGGTCGACTTGTTAATCCTCATGAAGCCCTACCGCCGCCCTCTACTGCGCCGCATGTGACAGTGGCATTAGTAAGGGGAAGGTACACTTACCACCATTATATGCACGACAACTTTAATGATGATGGATGGGGTTGTGCCTATCGATCAATGCAAACAATATTTTCTTGGTTCAGGTAATTGCGTTTTATTTTCATACTTTAATGTAATAAAATGTAAATTGTAAAAACAGACCTTTGTTATATAGGAAGTCAGTCATCACAGCGTACAAAATAATTATTCTTTCTTTAATTAAAAGTTCTGCATTTAAAGTTAAAAAGTTTTAAATAACTATTATCAGGATGTTACTTAAGTTGTCAATTTTTACCTCAGACGAAACTTTGTAAATTACATAATTTTCTGTTTTGTTGTAGATATCAAGGTTACAACACAACCAATATACCAACACATAGAGAAATTCAAGAGTGTCTTGTGGACATTGGCGATAAACCAACCACATTCATAGGGTCTCGGCAATGGATTGGCTCCACTGAGGTCATGTTTTGTCTGGAGACTATCCTTGGTGTTCAGTCTAGGATAATATTTGCTAACACCGGAGCAGAGCTGCAGAGTTACACGCCGGAGTTGATACATCACTTTCAAACGCATGGCAGCCCTATTATGATTGGTGAGTTTTCTTTTCATATTGCGAAAAATAGTAAATTAATGTTCAAGAAGTTTTTACACTAAATTTTAGACTTTTTTGTTTTCCTAGAAGTATGTAAAAGTATGTTTTACTTCTACCATGTTGAATGTCACAATTATAATACTTAGAGACTGGATCGTGAAAATATTTAACAAAGAAAACATAAGGGATACAAGTTATGAAGAGAGAAATGGGGAGAGAGAGGGAAAGAGAGAGACAAAAAGAGTAGCAGTTGGTATATCTTGTACGGATATCAATCGTTCGCATTGTTGATATACTAAGAAAAAGTATTTAAATAAAATGAGATGTGACCATAAGCCTATTTTCAACACTGTTTTGTTTCTAGGGGGCGGAGTATTAGCTCATACAATCTTAGGTATTGAATACAACTCTGAGAAGAACGAAACTCGCTACCTGATCCTGGACCCGCATTACACGGGCGCTGATGACGTCACGACTGTTGTTGGTAAAGGCTGGTGCGGCTGGAAGTCATCAGACTTTTGGAACAAAACCGCTCACTATAACCTCTGTTTGCCACAAACTAGACCTTGTATTTAGGTATAATTGTTTTATATGCATTTCTTTTTAGTTTAAACTCTAAACTACATGGCTTTTCATGTTTAGTTACAAAGGAAACTTAAGTGCAACAGTTTGAGTATAACTTAAGGGCAGTTTTAAAGATTTTATTTTATGTTTATAGTTTATCATTTGGATGTTACGTCATGATTTCAGTATTCCATTCTCAAAAGAACAGGAAGTTGTGTTTGTTTCCCTCCAATAATATACTGAAATGCATATAGATGTTAGTTAAAGATAGAATATGCCTCTTATATCCACTTAGCAGAAGTGACTTGTGGTTCCGGGATGATGGATGTATTTTGAATGAGGTCTTTGAGGTCATTTAAATCTAACCCATTTAATATTATGGCACCATTATAGATTAAATTGCACTACTTATTAATAGTAATATCTAAATATAATTCAAATGGAGAAAATATTGAGTTGCATAATATTAAGTTTGTTTAATGTGTATTTTAATACTGAGACAACAGAAATGTGTAAGTTAAATGAAATTGTTATATTTTATACCGATTAAAAGTTATAATTTGAAGTTGTTTTTAATTTTATTTTATGACGGAAAAAATTTAAACCTTAGTCATTCATTGCTTCATTTTTAATTCAGACGAAATAAAAATGGATTCGAAAGTTATCTATTTTAAAAAAGAGTAACTATACAGAAAAAAGCTGAGTAACTATATAAAAAAAGCAGAAACTCTCAAACTATATTTCCTTTCTCTCCAAACGATTCTTTAGTGATTTGTATAAAAATGATATATTGTGCGGACGCAAAAAATGAGGAAAGCAGTATTTTTTTAAATACTAGATTTTTGGTAAAACACTAATATTTCTTTTAACTGTTCTAACTAAGCTTGTGCTAGGATATGGTTCACGATATGTTCGAATGACGGGATTCGAACCCTCGACCACAAAATCGGTAGTCGGTACCCCAAACCATTAGGCTATTGGCGCATAACTCTCAAACGATTTGCGTTAAAAAATTGTAGTGTACGGGCTAACTTAACATCATAACAAACATCGGTACAGAAACGTCATTATTTAAAAAATATAATTGAGATTAAACTGATTTTCGTGAGACATTATCAAAAACGAATTAAAATCGGCTAATGGAACTAGTCGGTTCCGTCACCGGAAGATTACATATACGTGAGTTAAGCCGTTATTAATTTGTTTTATAAGAGAGATGTTGATAATAAGAAAAGACTAAATCAAGCTCATTTATTTTATTTACACCAATCTGTACACAAAAGGTACACCCTTAGTTCTTAAACATACCATTATATACAACAAAATCACAGAGTTCTAAGTTGAGACGAATCTATAAGCTAAACTATTGCACTGGTACATAAATACATGAAGCTTACACCTTCAGTTATAATAAAACAGTCAGACTGTACAGTTCAATCTAAGTAAACAAAATTTTAACTGTCAGTTGAGCTACAGTTCTCAGTATTGCCTATACACATCAGTTTCAACTGTACAGTTTAACTGTGTGATGGTGTTTAGCGCAATTTAATGTACTAATAGTGGTTAACTATAAGCACGGCAGATATTATCATACTTGTACTTTAAGCCACGGCAGTTAAATAACAGAAATATTGTTATACATAATGTACAGCTGAAATACATTTTATTGAAATATATTTAAGCCTACGTTCACTTTTGAAACGCAAGTCAGAATACCGTTTTCACTTTTCGAAGCACTTGTACCAAAACAAGTCAAGATAACAGTACATTTTTACAAGTATTTCCGCATGTAACCAAGATAATATTGTCATACCTACAATAACATCAAGTAGCCTAAAAGGCACATTTCCTAATATCTTTCTATCACTATGAATAATCAGGTTTTTGTGACGGCATGCAGTTGCCATCAAAGGGTCAGATGATAAAATTTAATTAAATAAATACGAGAAATTATTGAAAATTAAACTTTCAAGAATTGATTTGGCCCATCCGTGTTGAAAAGAATCACTTCTTTCAAATTTAATTCTCCAAATTCTGTGAAATACACAAGCGATATTAAGGTAGGGTTTCACTGCAGAGGTATCAAGTCTTAACGACAGTGAAAACCAAAAAATTATATAGCTACCAATTATAATAATCAAAAATTATTATTATGGCTAGTATAAGTAAAACTGAAATGAAACTAGACAAATAATTAACTACTGTTATTTTCATGGAAAAAGTACAGTGTTAACATATTTGTACTTTAAAAAATACAAAATAAAGGGCTTGTCCCACCAAATTGTAAATTGTCTGTTAACAACACAATGTGTCAAATATGTGATGGAAATACCGGATTTTGTTAACATATTTGACAGTGACGTCATTTTTAAGTGGTGGGACAGGCCTTTATGTAACCAGTTTAACAGAGAAATAATCGAATTTAATAATAAATATGAATAATAATCCTTTATATTTATATGGTTACAGGTGAAAATTCACATAGTAATACTTAAATAATAACAATTGTGTACACGGTGGCTTACAAATTATATCTCAACAATAAAAAATAAGTTAGTTAAATAAAAAACCGATAAAGTGGAGTTTGGTCGTAGATCACATTTGCTTTAGAGAATCTCCAAATCGCAATGTCGTATTTGTGGAAACTTTTTCTGTAAAAAAATCAATTTTATTATTTTTAAACTGTTTTAAATATACTGTATTTACAGAATATTTTAAATCCCCTATTCTTGCTTCAATATAAGACTCGGTAAAATTTAAAAATTCAAACTGCAAGAGTCGTAATTGTTCAAGGGAACACCTAACTGTAGAGATACTTTAGTAATTACCACTTACTAATCTGAGCGTGGTATAGTGGCAGTTTGTCTTTAGTCAAAACTAAAAGATATCCTCGTAATGTTCGTGTTATAAAAGCGAAATTAAATAGCTTATAGATGTTAATTAAAGAAATTACCCTTAATTTCAACTCTATCCTGTCAATCTCTCCGCCCAACATGTCCACAATATTCTCGCCGTGTTTCAGAAGGAATGCTTCTACGTTGTCTATGGTCTCGATTTTCTTTATATCCTAAATCATAACATTTATAAACAATTCATATATGAATATTTACATTACATTTTGTAATATAATGAAATAATTTACCTCTAACAATGAATTTAAATCGTGTTTCTCTAAATACGATCGGGTCAAAGCTCGACCGTCGAAATCAACTTCGGCCTATAATACAAATAAAAACATTATTTTCAAATTAAAGTTAATAAAATATGGACAGATTGCGTGAAAGGTGACATAATCAAAAGTAATGACTGAGATGATGTATGATAGAGTTATGTGGAGGACATAAACCTTTTGCGCCGACCCTACGGGTCTATTATAAGGACGAAGATGATAATTATGAAAATATATGAAGTACTTAAATATGAATGTTATTATAAGGAAGCAGTGGAAAATAATATAATACTTACTTTATATCTTATCAAGTTGCTTCCTATGTCTATCCCTTTCACATCATGTATAGCCCTGATCATAAAATCTCTTTCTAGTACACTATTTATTTCATCTAACTGTTCCTGTGGAATGGATCTGAAATAATTTGCAATTAACATATGTTTATTTTAGTTTTTTTTTCAATAAAATAATTTATATAATCCTACGAGTATTTATGGGCACTGTATGATTTATTCCTGCATAGAAATAAAAATAAAACATTTGTGATCCTTTTTGACATTGGATGAATTTAGTCATGATCAGCTCACGTTCCGAGGAGTTCGGAGACTACCCAAGGTTAGGGGTGACTAGGCTACATTCAACCTCACTGGTGAGCGGCGGGTTGGTTGACATTAAACATATCTTTTCTATACATTAGGTTGATCAATAGACACACGATCATAGTCCAGGGGTTCCCAACCTTTTTGTAATCTAGAGGACATTCTAAAATATCAGTCGAGTAGCTGGCACTAACTATATTTAATTGCCCACCTCCCTCCATAAGTTC